TGAAAATAATTCACAAAAAATAATATTTTATAAAAAACATTATTTGTATTTTAAATAATCTATTCTAATATTCTTTGTATTCACAAAAATTATATATTTTAAATAAAATTTTGAATTTATATATTAATTTAAATTCAAGTGTAGGGAAGACTTGTCGTAATAATAGTCGAGATTTTCTATTAAAATAAAAGTTTTTTCAAAAGATAAATGGAAATAAATTTCATTATTTTTTAGGAAACAAAAACTCAAATACTATTAAAATGCACAAAAAATACACCAAAATATCTTACTATTAAATAAAAAGACATTAGTTTAAGGGGACAAAAAATTTCATTAATTTTAAATTTCAATCAATATTTTACGATTTGTAAAGAATGTAAATTTCCACTACTTGTCAGTACACCCAGTGGTGTGTTATCTCTATTTTGTTGTTAAAACCAAAAAACAAATTTACTTTTTCTATTCGTCTCTCATTGCCTTTCATTCTCCTATTTTATACTCTTTTATCTCAAATGACTCTAAGAATGAATAAAAGAAAAGAAATCGAAGTCTTATTTCTGGCTTCAAATCAATCACTCATTCATTCATTGCCTGTAAATGTAGTGCTCTCTCTTTCTCGCTCTCTCTCTCGCTCTCTCTCTCTCGCTCTCTCTCTCCCTCTCTCTCTCTCTCGCAACCATTTTTCTGTATATCCCTCTCACTGTCTTTATATTTCGTATGCAATTATTTTTTGACAATATTTTCTTTTGAAATAAATCACTGGAATCGTTGAGATTTTTATATATCATACTCGATATCACGGCAACAAATATTTCTATAAATTTCAACTGAATTTGTGAAACAAATACTTGAAATACTTATACTTTACTTAACCCAACTTTGAGTTTAAAAGTATTTGACAAACTATGTCTGTAAATAGTTGTGAAAATATTTATAAAATAAATGCTTAAATAACAAATTGACCTTTTAATTTTATCACACATTTGGACACATATTCAGATAACATGAACACTAAATAAAATGTTTAGCATAAAATGTATTGATAAATAAATAGCGAGTTTAGTCAAAAAGAGTTTTATTGAAAAAGATTTTTAGTCATTTTGTTTTGACAATAAATATAATTCCAAATGATTTAAAGGTTTTATACAGTTTTATAGTTATATCAAAAAGATTTCAATCAATCAATCGTTAATTACATAAAATCTAAATCTAATTATAGCTAACATTTTAAATTTCATAACAAATGGAAAAAACTTTGAAATATTAAAATTTTATCTAATTTAATAATAGATACAATATTTTTTTCCTAAAAACAGGAATAAAAATAAATTAATATAATTTATATATATATATATGGTTGTGTTTTTCAAAGCAAACAATGAACTGGGCAATTGAGGTCACAGTGGGGCCCCTCGGAGGTCATGTTTAAAAATTTTATACATTTACAAATTGGTTTTACAAATATTGCTATATTTAAGAGTTATTTTGTCTTTTAAATTGCTATTTGTTTTCAATTGATTAGTATAGGCTATAAATGAAAGTCAAAAAATATCTTCGTATTAATGGTCATCATTATTATGAACGACAAAAGTATTGATGAGACGTTTTGTACAATATTTTGAGTTGAATTACCTGTAAATGGAAAATGTGAAACACAATTAAAGATATTAATATGAATACTATGTATTTGTTGTGAAATAATTGCTCATTTTTGTCAAATGCAATCCGATTAACATATTTTCAAATTAATGATAATTATATGAATTAGAGATTAAATTAGCAATTTTTAGCTCTAATTAGTGTATGTATTTTAATTATTAATCAAATTATAAACACTTAAAACAGTTTTATACAAAAATATAGTTATAAATTCATAAAACAACTCGAAATCCTTTCTCTAATATTAATATTATTATTCATTTGATATAAATATAGGGGAAAAGTAGTCCTAAAAATAATTTATTATAAATATATTTCTATATTTGTACAGCACTTACTGTGCATTTGATTAATAACTAGAATAAAAATGTAAAAATAGCCCAATATTTCATATAAAACATTATATCATAGAATATTGCATTCATTAATAAATTCCTATGATTTATAAATCACTAATATATTTAACTTAAAAGTTTAAAAAGTAAATAATTAATCAAGTTATTTACTGTTGAAAATGGATTAAAAATTATGTTTGATAAACTAATTATTAAATTATCATTTACAAATTATACATCTAAATTTTCAAATTTTATTTAATTTAATATTCCATTAATAATTGTGCAATAATTGAATTAGATATAAATGTAATTATATAACTATTTCCAGTTGCATTTTAGCATCATAATCAATTAAATTTGTGTGAAAGGATTTAAAGCCAAATTATATAATATAAAATATTATACTACAGTATACAATATACTTTGTACCGGTATAATATATTATACTGCATAAATATCATTACTCCTCTAACTTCTCAAATATATATACAGTATATTTAATAATCAAATAACAATTTATACGGATGACTGATTTCAATATCATAGTGTATCATCATAAAATTATGATTAATTATTGTTAAAAATATTTTTTCAAAATAATGGACAAACGATTTGATGCTCAAATAAATGGTCTAATAAATATCTGTCTAATAATTATAAATAGATTTATAAATTCTAAAATAATTAGTAATATCGTTATGAATGTAATGAAAAAGAAAATTATTAGAAATATTGAATAATGAGAGTATGAATGCAATACTGACTACAATAAGGCATTTTAAGCTTCAGTGTTGAGTACTTAAACAAGTCGTCGACGGGAGTGGACATGAGGTGAATGGGGTCGGGAAGCCATGTGCCGTTGCGACAGATCAGTATGGATGGACCCATCAGATCAAAGCCCTCATCGCAGGTATAGTTGACGCGTGAGTTCTCGCGTGGTGTCCGCCAACACGTCTGTTCCCCTGTTATTACGTAAGTGCCTATAGAAACACACAAATCACATACCGGTGCCAAACACACCAGTAGGCGATGGCAGTGTCAGTCGAGTTAATGAATGGATTGAGTGAACAAAACACAGAATAGATTTTTGTTTAATTAAAAGACATCACAAGAAATGCTTGTTTTCCACATTAAAAGGGTATTAAAGAGACTTTATTTATATAATTAAGTGAATAATTATAATAATTCTTTGCGCAAAACCATAAACAAGGTTTCGGACAACTATAATGCTATAAATTATTATCTACTTTTTTTGTTGGTAAAAACAAGTGCATTGCACAGGTATATTACAAAGTATAAAAATAAAAATTGTATAATAAATTTTATCTCATATGAATTCTTTAAGAAACTTCTCTCTCTCTCTCTCTCTCTCTCTCTCTCTCGACTATACATTCATGAAAAGTGTATATAATTTACTACGAAATTGGTTAATCTATGCAATGAATGAAACTAATTAAAAAAGTGTATATTAATTATCCTCAGCCTCTCATCAGATGCTTATATTTATTAATCAATTTGACAATAGATTGGTTTGAATATTGCTAATAACTGAATGTCCCCCTGACTGCCCCTTCTTACTGACAAACAATACACTGCTGTGTAATGAGAGGTCATTACATAAAAATGCTTTTTACCGAAATTACTGCTAATTACACAAAATTAATTGCATTAAAAATTAATGAAAATTCCACACAAAACAACAACTTTATATGAATAGGGAGCGTATGAATGCGGAATTATTACACATATTTAATTTTAATGAAATAATAGTATTTTCAAATAATAAACTTTTCTTTTAAACGGTAGAGTTAATGTAAGGAACGCTATATAAGATTCACGTGAGTTTTTAAGAACTCTGAATAAGACATATAAGACAGCGTTATTTCCAAGTCTTTGGTCGTAATGTTTTATGTGATTAATATGTCAAAGACCTACTTGTGCTCACTCATACCCATGATATTAATTGGATTGTTGGCCAGGAATAGGTAGTGAATTTGGAAATGCCAAATAGTTATCATAATTTATGTTTTTGTGCAATTTAATGTATAATATGTAATAAAATATTTTTTACAGTTTTATATTCTAATATATTCGCGACACTATATTTTAATGTATACAAATGAAGTTAATAAATTTGTATAAACTAAAGCTATGATAATTAAAGTAAAATTACATTAATGATAAAACTATACAGTACTCAACTATAATGTATTAGAGATTTTATATAATAATTGAATTTATAATAATGATATTGAATATTTTTTGATTCTAAAATTAAACTATAACTCCCTTATCTAAAGGATTAAATCTAATTTTAACATTTGAATAGATATTATATACTAAATAAATTATTTCGTAATTTATAGTTTATTAATTAGCGTATAAATTATATTGCCCTTTTGTGAATATAGTAGACAGATATTTGAAAAATTAATACTCTATTTTAATGTGTTTATTCACTTGTATTTGGTACTGATATAGTCTGCTTAGCAATTCAATTAGTGTATGGATTGCTATTACTTAATATTTTATCAAAAGTTTAAAAAACTAATAAAACCATAAATGAATATTTTAGATGACATGCAAATACTCGTGCCAAATATTTACTCTATTTAATCAATTATTTAATGTACGCTCACTATACTGTTTATCTATAAGTAAATAGATTTACTTAAGAAATACGACACTAAAAATTACATGCATTCAAATAATAAATATTATAATTATATGCCAATCCATAAAACACTACATAAGAATATCAGCTTGTCTAATTAATTATACTATTTTACCAAGCATAAATAATGGAATCTTGTAAAAATTAGTAAAATATTAATTAAATGACAAATCTATTGTACTAAATTGAACTTGTTACTGTAAGTATGGTAATAATTAGAAGCCCCCCAGCAGGTGTGTCGGCCTCAGCGGTTTCTCAAATATCAATTCTGGGTATGCGGTACTCCAGTACTGTTACTGCTCCACCGTGACCTTCCTGTCAACAGGCCGTTAGTTGATGAAGTCGGTCACGTGGTATCGGCGCCGTATGGATATCTCGTACGTGCCGTTTGGCAGCTCTTGGTTCACATCAAATGCTTCGCCCGCAAAGTATTTATCCGTAAAACTGTTTGCGTCGACAAAATATATATATATATATATACTGTATATATCGTATGAAAAATGTATTTTACACAAAATAAAATGTTACACAAAATGTGCTTTAAACGATTTTTTTCTGCTCATAAACTTCACTTCAAAAATACACATCAAATGTGGAGTTAATGTTGAAATAGGATTGTTGAGAAAAATACTTATTTTTAGTTTTTTCTATAGGTTTTGCTGTTTCTCTTTCTCAATGCATATGAATTGATGAGTGCTTTTAAAACTGTGTTTATTATATGAAAATTTATATTTTATTTATTTATTATAAAAAATGTGCAAAAATGAACATAACTTTTGTACAAAATCTCATACTTTATACAGTTATATACGCGATGATACAAAATTTGTAGACATTTTAATATATAATGAGATGAGTATCTCATAAAACACTATAACAATAATACTAGTGACAATCTTTGTATCATATATTCTGAACCATATTATATAAGCTTATATAAAGTATATCTATAATACAAACTATTTCTTTAAGACTACTAAAAAATCTAATCAAATAGTACAAAGTAGATAAAAAATGTAGATATGAGCGAATAGATACAAATCTATAATCTCTATCATATTTACATACAATTCTTAAAGAGCTTAATCAGCTTAACCTCTCATTCAGTGATTAATTTATACTAAATTTTTTATAACGTAAAAACCCGATTACAGACTGAATTTAGTTACGAAAGTAATAAAATCTGTGTTTAAAATGATGTGTATTATTGAACAGATATTTATGAGAGGAATACCCACTCGTTATGTATACTACAGGCGGGCGACGGCTTTGGGAACATTCCGATGCAATAGAAACTGATGTCTTCCGTGCAGTTAATCATATCTGTATGTGTTTTCCAATGACTCTCTTTGCACGCGTCTTATCACACAAATTGTAATTAAAATACAAATATTAGTTTTAATTTACAAGTTTTTTGTTGCTGCTTAATGTTCAGGAGTTTTGAAATTATTTTAAATGCATTTTCTGCTAAACCAATAAATCAAATGTTTATTTTAAAAACTCTTTTTAATGAAATTAAGCGCCGAGATTGTGGGCTCAGATAAAGTAAATATTAATTTTTGTTTTTAAAATGTTTATGAATTTATTGCTAAAATAACACATTTTCTGGTTGTAAAAACTGTTAATTATAAACAAATTAGTGTCAATTTATGCTGATATAGTGGTGTATAACTAGTATAATAACTGTTTGCAAATTGCAATTACATGAGCACTACTATATCTATAAATTTTTATGATATACTGCAGAGTTAATGCATTTTTTGTTAAGTTTTCATATAAAAAGCAGTCTCTAAAAGGTTGAGTGCATGTAATCGTCTCATTATATAATCGATTACTTATTTGAGGGCAAAATGTATGTAATTTTTGAACAATAAATTGATTGAGACTTTCGATAATTCTGTCATAACTGTAATATCTGTTCATTGAGTCGATGGAGAAATACAAGACAACAAGAAAATGTGAATCCAGTGAACAGAATAGGGCTTTACTTATGTAATAGTCTCCATAGAATTCTCGTATAGAAATTACATGTATTTTTATGGTACGATATATACGAGTATTTATGAAATATATTTAATACATGACTCGATAATAATGATAATAAAAGCAAATCATTTCACACACGAAATACAAGCGCCCTATCAATAGAAATGATAATTTTGACCCAATTTGCTAACATTGAAGTCGTCTGAAGGAAAGGGATGAGAAGGAGAGACAATAAAATCGATGCCATTCCTCCACACAACTAACTGTGCGATATATACTGAACGCCAGGACTGGTAGTTATGTTTTTTTGTTCTGGTTTTTAAATTAAATTTGATTTATTGCTGGCACTCATCAGCGCTGGTGTATATGAGGGGAGTGGGAGGGGAACGGCAGGGATGTAATGGTTGTGTTTGAACGCCTGAGACACTCACCGATAATGACAGTAAGTGTAGCCGAGTTTTGCGATGTATTGATATCGGAGTCGACGTGACAGCTATAGGTGCCGTGCATATCAAGCTCAGGGATGTAATGGTTGTGTTTGAACGCCTGAGACACTCACCGATAATGACAGTAAGTGTAGCCGAGTTTTGCGATGTATTGATATCGGAGTCGACGTGACAGCTATAGGTGCCGTGCATATCAAGCGTCACATTCAGGATCACAACTGTATTTAACAAGTCTTTTGAATTGTAGTCGACGTGCCCTTTGAGGACACCCACAGCTATCGGCCTTTTCTTGTTTGGCGTCGAAAAGTATACCTTTCCATATGAATGGGGAGATAAAAGGCATGAAGTGAATACATGTTTATAAATACCAAAAATAAAATGTTGCAAAAAATGCAGTGACTATTGTGAGTGCCTTATAAATACGAGAATACTATACTATACTATACTATACTATACTATACTATACTATACTATACTATACTATACGAGAATACTCACGAGAATACTATATAAAAATTCTGTTAATATAAACCCATTTATAACACACTTTATTAGTGTTTATAAAAATATATACTTCACTGCTGTTCAATACGATGATGCAGTGAAACATCTTTTCAGGCAAATTAATTTGTTCAAAATGATTAATTATTGTATTTATATAGATATCCCTCCCTTTTGCCTATGAAAGTGCAGTTCGTTTCCATTCATTACTATTATGTAATAAACTTTTGCCCAAAGAGTTAAATAATGATTGCTATAAATAGCGAAAATCTGTTTAAGATGATTAATTATGGCCCAAATAAACATGATAATTTATTATGATAGTATTTATAGTTTAAAGTGGAGTCTAATTTCTCAAGAATATTGCGATAATCACCCCTCCCTGTGCCCTACCATCTCATTCATTGGTATATCTGAATCGATAGCACACTTAAACGCATGAATGACTTCAATGAAGGCATACATTTAAAAAATAAGTTTTAATTAATTAATTGATTATTTGTGTTCTCAAAAGCATTTACGTTTGCATTCATCGCAAACAAAATGATTTATATATTCCTCGCGAACCGATAATTACGAGTAATTTTGTATAAAAACATAAATAAAACATAAATTCTTGTTTCTTAACAAATGACTGAATGCCTGACAAACATAGTGTACTCCCGTATGAATGACTACCCAAATGATGACATTCCCCACTCATTATAAGCCCCAGTCATGTGCCCTAATCTTTACGTCTCGTTAATCACACAATCGGAGGCTTTTAAATGGAAAAATAAAATTTCTATTTAAAACCCATCATATATTAATAATTAGTTATTAATCATATGTTTTTGTTTTAAATGCGAGATAATGTACTCTAAAATCGCGGGTATATTTCTATATATTTTGTAATAAATTATTAATACATTATGTTAAGTTATTAGAAAAACCTTTTACTTTGTTTGAAATTATCAAAACTACTTTACATTAGAAAGTAATGCCTAACCCTTACGATGGGTGTGTCTGTTTGGGTAATCTAAACAGGAGCATTGAATTTGAAGTTTAGGCCTAATTATATCATAAATTAATTAAATCGTAATTAAAATGAATATTTGCATTTATATGATTTTATATATCAACTTATATATCATATAAAAATACGTTTAAGACACAAGTGTTTATATCGAACGATAACACAAATGTAAATAAATAGATTTTCACGATCTGTTCCTGGTGGATAATATATTAAATATATTACTAAATGTTTGGAACTTTGCAATATTGTTTAATTACATTAAACAGAAAGTTAACTTAAATTGCTGAATCAACTACCAATATATCTGTGTAAAGGAACTATTGATGAAAATTAATTATAAAACTTTAACTACAACTTTACTTACATTAACTAACAATTTTGCAATTACAACAATTGTTTGTTTCAATGCTGTCTATATGAAAATCAACTCAAATCCCCCTTGACATTTAGGTAATAGTCTCATAGGGTCTGGGCGTAGATATTTCGCAAAAGACTTTAAAATATTCGCAAAATTTGTGAACTAAACCCCAGAACAGACACAATTTTGTGTATGGAATGCAAATGAAATTTTGCAACACTAAAAAAGATTGTATTAAAAAGTTTTGTTAAAAGCATTTGTATTTTAGATATGAAAATAGCTGAGAGGGAAGGGAAAGAGGGGGAGTGATAGAGGAGAGAGAGAGAGAGAGAGAGAGAGAGATTGAATATATAGTATATTTTTATGCAAATTCTGTGTTCACAAATATAGCTTGCTATTGTGTTTACATTTATTTATCTAAAAGTGCTAGACAAGGACCACCTATTATATAATTTATATAATGATTTACACTGGAACTTTGCCATATTATATAATTACATTAAACAGAAAGTTAACTTAAATTGCTGAATTAACTACCAATATATCTGTGTAAAAGAACTATTGATGAAAATTAATTATAAAACTTTAACTACAACTTTACTTACATTAACTAACAATTTTGCAATTACAATAATTGTTTGCTTCAATGCTGTCTATGTGAAAATCAACTCAAATCCCCCTTGACATTTAGGTAATAGTCTCATAGGGTCTGGGCGTAGATATTCACAAAAGACTTTAAAATATTCGCAAAATTTGTGAACTAAACCCCAGAACAGACACAATTTTGTGTATGGAATGCAAATGAAATTTTGCAACACTAAAAAAGATTCTATTAAAAAGTTTTGTTAAAAGCATTTGTATTTTAGATATGAAAATAGCTGAGAGGGAAGGGAAAGAGGGGGAGTGATAGAGGAGAGAGAGAGAGAGAGAGAGAGAGAGAGAGAGATTCATATAAATACTGTCATTTTATATATAAGTTATTCGCATGTATAACACAAACCAAAATACAAACAAAAAATTTATGATATTTAATATGAAAAACACGTTAACACGTAATGCATTTCTATTGTATTATAGCTTTAAATATATGACAAAAAGAAAAGTAAAGTTTAAGTCAATTTGTAATAAATAATGTGAACCAAAAGGAATTGAGAGACAAAATAACCAAAAATATTAAGAATATTCTGTTCCCTACTATCGCTCTATTTATTGCAATATCTGTGCAATCATTATGTACTAAAAGACTGACTATTGTATTACATCTATATATTTGTGATCATAATTGGATAATAGTATGGTTTATGACAAGGGGATCACCATGCTATTCTTACAATATACCCTACTACAGTATTAAGATTCATCTATACTTAATAGCATGTTAAAAAAGAATCGGTACTTAACTTAAATATTGAATAACATATGCTAAATAAATCCATTACACTAATCTATTTCTCAATAGGTATGCCATCATTAATAACATGCCTGACCTGTCTCATTGCCATGATTCCTGCGTAATGTTTGATACGATAGTAAACATGTTATGAATGAGAAAAATACGTACGTCTTGTCCATCCTTTTCCCATCTGACGGATTGGACCCTTTCCTCCTGTTTGGTGAGTATGTAATGACACGAAAGTTGTGCGCTTTCGCCTTGTATTACATAATCACTTCTTCCGGTGTTTATGGATATGATGTGCACTTCGGTTACCGTCACTCCATTCACTGTCAAATGTAATACACATTACTATTAGCTTATGGCATATATTGTCAAACATTTATGATTTTCATCACTAAAAACAAAAAGCATTAATGTAATAATAGAAAAACATAACTACACTATCAAAACAAATTATTTGATTAAAGTTTGAGAATAACAGTGCGCCATATGTTTACTGTGAGTTTGGTGGACAGGGCTATCGCAACAGGAACTCCATATAAACAGGATATTTGTCAAGAATACAAATTATGGGAAAATATAATAATATGTTATTTGATTGAAAATTGCACTTATATTTGCTATAGAAATCATAGACACGATAAACATAACAATAATATAGTTTATCATAGGCATCGAAATATTAATTATATAAAATATACGAATTTTGTAGTTGAATTTTTGTAACATTAATATTAATACAGAAAATTTTTGTTTTTATTTAATCTAAAGTAGAGCAATTAATTTAGTTGTATTTACTGTAAAAGTATTTTATTATAAATGCCATATAATTAGTATAATTTGTTGGTATAGTAATATCATGCAAATCAAATATCAATAGAGCATACAATAATAATCTAGCTCGATTATCTCATGTCACATCATATTTTGTAAAAACGTTGTCAAGCGTTGATAAAATGAAATTTTCTGGACATTCAGTTTTAATAAATAAATCATTTATTTGTTTGCAATTCTTATGCTCTAATAAAATATAAATGTGAGCCTTATATTTGGTTTTGAGATATGATTTATATTTGCAGACATACTGTTTACACATGAATTGTTTGATTAGATTCACTCATTACTATTCGCTCATACATTAGGGGTTATTATCATATCAATGGGTTGTGACCTGAAAAATATGAATCAAATTCTCTCTATTTGTTATATAATATGAATGAATTTCATATAAAAGCTCATAAAGTATTGAAATTTATTACTATTTTTTCAAAAGAGAGTAATAATAATAAAAATATATAAATATTCACATTTGTACCACAAAACCAGTCCGTAATAATTGGATTTAAATTACTCTTTGCTCTCTCTCTCTCTCTCTCTCTCTCTCTCGTTATTTTGCAATTTATTGCTATAATATTAGTACGGAAATTGAAATATAAAACATGAATTCAATTCCTATTTACTATAAAATTCACACAACAATAATAGAGATATAAAAAGTATTTTATATAAAACTTTTATATTCTCTCAAATGTTCTCTCTCTCTCTCTCTCTCTCTCTCTCTCTCTTACTCTCACAGAATAGTATAAAGATTTGTGTCACAGAATATTCTGTATTCAAGTCCACACACATACCCACACCCGGAGAGTGAGCACTAGTAGTGTAACTGACGACTGGCTGGTGTTCTCATAGTCAGTGAGCTTTAAATTTTTCCTTTCCTTCCGGACTCTAAGAGCCATAAAAATTGATTCACTTTTTCTTCTTCTTATATTTTGCAATACATTTCTTATCGCTACTCTCTCTCTCTCTCTCTCTCTCTCTCCTCCCTTTCAATAGCAGAGCATTTTTTGCGTTGAAATCATTTCTAGTTTTCAACATTTCTTTCTCTCTCTCTCTTTCACTCTCTTAGAGAGAAATAGTTTTAGTCTGCATTTGAAACACATTTTTGTTGTCAAAAGGAAGAGAAAGATTTCCTTTTGCTTTAGCATTGAGTGCGACAATAGAAATAAAACTTAAGTTTTACTCAAAACCATTGTTCACAAAAATATAATATATATTTCACAATTGAAAAGTCGTTTCTCTGAGAAAAGTTGTTTTTAATTGAGATTAACAATACGTCGTCCCTCTCCTCACTTTCAATCATTTGTTTATTTCTGAACTAAATAATTGACTCAACACTCAAACATACCATCCATTTATAACATAATTGTATATTTTCAGTAGAATTCACATAAGGGCTAAATTAAAAATAAAAGTTACTGTAGATTTACGAAATATGCATAAAATTTAGGTAATATTACTGTACTGTATATAAAACAATGAAATGAAGGGGTAGTTAAAATGCACAGACAGTATAAATACAGAAGTGTAAGGGTATTTATATTAATATATGCAAAAATGTTCAGTTTTATTGCCATAATAACAATTAGTATCATAATAAAAAATATTCTAATAATAATAATAATAATAATAATTCTTTTAATTGATGCGAATTTATAGTTAATTATATAAAACAATACAATAAATTAGACTTTTTAAGTAGACCAAATGTTTGGTGAAATACAAATTCACAAAAATACACCGGTACAATTAAAAAATATTATATTAAAAATTTATTAATTAATGTATTTAGTAATTAATGATTTTTACTCCATTTATTTTGTCAAATATACAGTAGTTATAACTATAAAATATTGGGAGACTTAATATTATATAAAAAAATATTGATTTATTAATGGATTCGTAAATTAATATTTCCTTTTTACTTAATCAATGTGCTGTCAATTAATGTAAACATAGTTTTATATTTAAAAATCTAATAAAAATGTATAATATATTTGTTAATTATACTAAACTTGCTGAGACAATAATTAATTAAGCTGTTGTTGTCAGTTATGCAATAAATGTGTACCATATAAGGTATGTGCACGTTTATTATACCTGTATATAAAAATAATTGATTGATTGTAAACTCAAATCGCATTTAATACAATGATTACATTCAGAAATAAGTGGTAATTTTCATTAACTTATAGTCTAAAAGCCATTATAACATTGATATGAAAGCATATTAATGTATTGGAGGTTCAAAATGGTATAAATATAGAAAGGAAATAATATTTTATATATGAAATATTGATATCTATATTACAATCTATTGCAAACACATTAAATGCATATTAATATAAAAATATATATTATGACAATGTTTCCAAAAATCTAACATAATTTGTCAAGAAATTTATTGATAAATTTACAATACAAATTTTGAAATATAAAATAATTAATTTTTATTAAAATATAGTCCTTTATTGCAAAATTTAATAATAAAATAGAAATTGTATTTTGAAATAATAAGCTTTTACTTCACCTTTTTGTGTTATATTATGTTATTTGTGAAACACATTCATAAATCTTATGATAAATTTAAACAAAGAATAATTTTTATTTAAAGTATTTATTATTTAAGAGCCCATTAATCATAAACTGGTAGAGAATCCATAAAATAAAAAATGTAAAATAAAATAATTAACTCTAAAATATAATACTTTAAGAACTGAATAAATGTTTGTTGAAAATTAATATTTTTCTTTAAAAAACAGTAAGCCTTTCATTGTTTTGTTGAGGCATTATTTGTAGGAAACATTAAATATTATATGCATTTTATATTTAATAAATTAAATATCATTGTTATTATCGTAAGAGAAAGCAGTTGTCGCAGAATATTCTCGAGTTTCCGCTCAAAAACACTATTCACTACTGAAAAGGGAATTATTATATATTTATATTTTTATGTTTAATCTCAAAATCCTATTCTCTCTTAAATTTCTATTCAAAGTCTTATTCAATACTTCTTAAGACAGTGAATGTGAATCCAAAGCCCGTAAGTATTGTGCGGCATATGAATGGTTGGAGTGGGAAGGAGTCATACAATTGATTAATTACAGTCAAACTCATACCAGTGTTTGTCTCTCTGCCTAATACACAGAATTATCTAATGTATTGAAGCCTAACTTAAATTGTATGGAAAAAAGACATTCAATTTATTGGACAAATATTTACACAAAACAAACTGACAGAAGAGTGATAGAGAGAGAGAGAGAGAGAGAGAGAGAGAGAGAGAGTATTATTATGATATTTATACCCATTTTTAAAGCCCTATAAAACCTCGAATTTTTCTTTAAATTTATAGTCTATTAAGTAAAATAAGAGGAGAGAGAGAGAGAGAGGGAGAGAGAGAGAGAACTTTTAAGAACCCCATTCCTATGCATCGGAAAAATAAGTTGAAATGAAAAAAGTTTAAAATTGATTTTTCATTTCGTTTCACTATTTATTATATCTTATATCATCTCTCTCTCTCTCCCTCCCTCTCTCTCTCCTCTTATTTTACTTAATAGACTATAAATTTAAAGAAAAATTCGAGGTTTTATAGGGCTTTAAAAATGGGTATAAATATCATAATAATATACGCTATAAGTGTTAATATCCACAAAATAATAGCAAATTTTCATCTCTCGTTCAAATGATAACCCCTTAAATGCTTCATAAATATCTGTTAATTAAAATATAAGGTTGTTAATATAAATTGTCAAAAATAATTGCGTCTATAAATTGTCTCCGGTTAGGGATTTATATTGAATACACAGACAATAACTGTTGTAATCATTAACTCTTTCTGCTTGAATTTGTCATTGATTTCTAATAATAACAATAAAATAAAATAGAGAAATAGGAAAATAAGTGCCAATTGAGAGCTTTGGGTTTTGTTAAATTACTGCCAAAAAACACACTTTTGTGTCCAATAATTCATTCCTAATCACAAATTACTGGTATATGTTCGCCATTCAAACATACCCTATCCTTAAAGTACCTCTCTCTCTCTCTCTCTCTCTCTCTCTCACTCTTCTGTCAGTTTGTTTTGTGTAAATATTTGTCCAATAAATTGAATGTCTTTTTTCTCTCTCTCTCCCTCTCTCTCTCTCTCTCTCTCTCAACACAAACTGTAACTCAATTTATAACAATAAATATATATAAGAATCGGTAAAGTCTTATATGTGTTGTTATCTAAACTCTAAACTGTACTTTAATACAGCGATAGTGTGTATGAAATTGTTATATCATTACTTATGGGCACACATTGTTGTACTGTATATATTCACCTGATATTATAGACAATGCAATAAATTATTTGTTAGACAAACAAATAGAGTGATAGTTGGGTCACAATAAAAACTGAAATAATATCAAATTCTTGTTATATAAAGCACTTTAAAGAATAATATATATTATTCTTATATAGATTTCCGCAGAAATTTAATAACAATTTCAGATCTCAACTAAAATATTGGTTTTATTTATTTTCCTTATATTCCTTATATGATTGAATTTGTGGCCAAAAAATATAAAAATAAAAAACTGAAAAAACTTTTGGCGATTCGATTGAAAAAACATTTTTTCAAAAAAGTAAAATGAAAAATGCGATAAAAATATGTTATATATATCGCCAGACTATATATAAAATGAGTGAACAGAGAAAATAGTTTTCTTGAAAAATATTTTCAGTGATATGTCTTTGAATTCAATTTTTATTGTTATGTTAGAAATCGGTCGACGATATGGTGGCGTAAATAGGAGTTGTCATATGGGAAGGGGATCACAATTTTGGCAACAATTGTGATGCCATTTAATAAATTGATAAACTAGGTGTTTGCGGTAATATATAAGCTTACATTTAGTGACGCTTTTCTCTATGCGTTTTAATGTAGTTTTGATATATTTGATGACTATTTGAAACCGACTGTAAGGAGTCATTGGAGTGAAAGTTATTTCAATTATAAATGACAGTAGTTTTTGCGCTGAAATCGCATATTTTCATGCATTTGTGTGCACACAATATGTCGACTAAATCTTTGGTGAACACTACTGTCCGTCAGTTTAAGTGGATTTCCAGTTTTGATAATTAATAAACTGCTGAAACAAATGGTCAGTACTTTATGGCGGATGTTATAACAACTAAATTCCTATTTCATTACAAATTCTTAATTACATATTAAGTGTGATATCATAGCAACAAATTAATATATAGAGAATATTCTGGCTTGAAATATATGAATAATTATATATAAACAGATTAACGAATAAAATTTATAATATTTTGTGTATAAATCATTTATGCTATAAATTCTATAGTATAAAACAATCCAGTTAAGGCATTTTGGGCCAATATTTATAGCATTAAATCATAAATCAATGAAAACATAATTATTTGAATTGAATTTGCTTTCAATGCGTTTAATGGTTTGTATAAAGAAAATAAAGAAATATGTTTTTTGTGAACTCTTTTTTCTATGACATTCCTGTCATACTTTTGCACAACAAATAAATAAAATATTTAATGTTAGATCATATTTTAGTGTATATTTGCACTATTTATTTATCAATTAGTAAATACTGTAACTAAGTTCTTTATTCTTATTGTATTTATTTGCCTTAAACTCAATTAACTACATGTTTTGTCAAACACAATATAAATCAGATAAAAGTTATACTCATAAATGAGAGTTATGTTTGCTCTCTCTCTCTCTCTCTCTCTCTCTCTCTCTCGTATTGTGAGCCAAAAATCTGTATTAATG